CTTAGTCCATGCTGTGGTGGTGCACGGTGGTGGGAATGGCTGAACGAATGCTGCGGTGAAGTCGGCTGAAATTACCAAGTACAGAATAAGTGAAATGGATGAAGCCCCTGTGAGTTTGTGTATGAAGCAATTAGTTTAATTTTGGTCCTAACAGACATCAAAGTCTGTTTTCCTGTGACTTTGGCCCGTATGTCATATCCTTCCATTTATATATATTTTTTCATCTCTTTCCCCCTCTGTTGTGATAGAAGAATGATCTTTGAAACTTTCTAGCAGGACTCTGTCCTGCCACTTAAGACCTTAAATCTGTGCATATACAGTGCCAGGGAAAAATGAGGGAATTGCCATTCCGGTGCTCAGATCCTCAGACTAGAATTTCCTTCATGTTTTTTTCCAGTTTAGACTAATGCAGTTTTTCCTTAAACTGCAAGAGAGCCTGTGGTCATACAGTGTTACTGCACTAGCAACAGCAAGGTTTAGAAGTTGGCCAAACAGACATACTGGGTTGAGCTTCTCATACAAGGTGTGAGGTAACTGTCATGTAATCTCATTTTTAAAGGTAAAATGCTTCAAATTATACATTTTCCCGTCTTCTTACCTAGATTTCAAGCTCTTACCCACAAACTCTGTATGACAAGAAATGTTTGACAGTGGCCAAAACTATACTGAAATACATTGGAAGAAAAGTTACTAATAAATAAAAACGCATTCAACACAGTAAATTCAACAAAACCCTACAGAAAACAGTCGTTAGTTAGCAGATTTCTTGGATTAATTGAACTTTACAACTACTTTGCAATTAAACTTTTCTGCTTTGATTTTGTGAGCTCAGTCTAGGTAACAACCTGAAAATATTTTCGTTCTCTGTCGCTCATTTACCTCCTGCCTACACAGGTAACTTTGTTCACAGCCTTGGTCCAAGCGCTTTTGGCAGGACTCTTCATGTCATGCTAGTAAGAAAGAGGCCTGGGATTGTTCAGTGTATTTGGAGCATGGTGTATACGTTAAGCTTCTGTCAGCTTCAGAGATCCATTTCATGAGTTGTATCTTTTCAAGAGTGTTTGTGAAATACTTTTTTAGCACTACATGAGTGAGTTTTACATGTAAATTGAGAACAATGACAGGGATTAAATTCCCTGCTGCACTAACTTACTATTCTTACTCTCAAATTGAAGGTTCAGAAGGGCACATAGTATTTGAAGTTATTACTCCATCACAGCAAGCTAAGACTGATATCCTGATTCAAAATAAGAATGCCAGGTTTTATTCTTGCTATTCTTCTTTTACCCATACTAAATATACTGCTAAGACAACAGTGAGGGTAGTCATGCATGCCTCGGTAGAAAAATCAGGTGCTGACCATGGATGCTGATCCTACACTAAATGCCACTATATGTATTTGTCATGAGATGCTGTTGTGATATGGAATGGGGGAAATGGTTCATAAATAGTGTATGAAGGAGAGGCAAAAAGAGAAAAGCAGGGAGAAAGAGGAAGAAAATGTAGGTGCATATATAGTTCGCTATATACCGAATGAACTAAAATCTTAATTTCTTATTATTGGCTTGATCTAGGCATTTG